ATTGAAAATTAAGGGATGTTCTAACCACCTTTAAAACGGAAGATAGGCGAGAATGTAATAACTACAGAGGTATATCACTACTAGGCATCCCATCCAAAGTGCATGGGAAAATATTAGAGTATTTTACAAAAAGTTGATTCTAAAATGGAACAATCACAAAGTGGATTCAGAAAAGGAAGAAGCATCCAAGAATTTGTAGCACCTTTTACTATTAAGAAAGTATAACAAAACGCATGGAACTTAAGCATTAAGTTATATCAAGCCTTTATTTAAGAAAAAGCATTTAATAGTACTCCAAAAAAGGTAAAAGACATATACTTAAAAAAGAAAGGTGTAAATATCAAACTTAGAAAAGCCATTATGAGTGTATACAGACGTACAAGGAACAGGATCAGAACTAATAATATGGAATCCAAATAGTTTAAAGTAAATAAAATTTTTCATCAAGAGAAAGCCCTACGTCCTATACCATTTACTGTCTCCTTGGATGACATTATTAAATAAAAAAGAATACAAACACAGAATTTATATGCCGTACATAGAAATCTAGGAGCGAAGTTGATCTTAGAGGGCGCAGATGATCTTGTAATAGTTGGAATAAACGAAGAAGCACTTTATCCAAATTTACAAGTATGAAACAAAATTTTAGGATTAATTAAGAGAAAATGAAAGTAATACAAAAATACAAAACAAAGGTAAATGTTAACGGAAATACACTCGACCAAGTCGAAACCTATAAATACTTGGGAGTGCAAAAAGAGAAGAGAGAAACTGAACAAACTTAAATAAGTTCGAGAATAGAAAGTGCTGCTCGTATATATCACGCAATAAAAAGTACGTTTTTATCAAAAAGAAAAAAATTCCAAAATGCTAAAGTAGCCATTTATAAGACGGTGTGTGCCGATTTTAACTTTTGGTAGTGAAAGTTGGATGCTTGCTGATAAATTAAGATCCAAAATAGAAAGCATAGAAATAAATTCTCTTAGAAGAATAATGGGTATTACCAGACTGGACAGGATCAAGAAAATTGAAGAGGCCCAACTAAGATGGTATAGACACATGATTTGAATCAATCAAGAAAAACCAGTTAAACAAGTATGGAAAGCGAGAAGGCAAATTAAGAGATCAAGGTGCAATGAAGACATGGTACGATAATGTAACTTTAATCTTAGAAACAAGAGGAACTAGCAAAGAAAATGAAAGAAACCAAGCAAAGAATAAAACAGAATTGAAAAAAAATTTGCTTGCAACTATCTAAATATATTACACTTGACACATTAGAGTAAAAGGGTTTAGGATTACATATTTAAAACAATCACGGGTGCTAGATCCAAAATTTACACTGTGGAGACCACAAGCAAATAGAAGAAGCAGAGGTTGACTAACTACACGATTGACAGACGACGACGACATCAAACAAATCAATAAGAAACAGGAAACTTAAGACTGACACAAGTGAAAATAATAGAGAAAGCCATGTTCAACTTTGGATGCATGATCATGGTGATCCTTTCATTTGACAGTCATTATACCATCAGAATATCTTCTGATGTATTGTTTGTCTGTGAAGTTTCGTTTTTTTGGGTCTTCTGTGGTATTTTTTTGATCAAGTATAGGAGCTTTTATTGGATAAGTTTTGTATTTAACAGTTTTGAAACCAAATTAAAACTATTGTAATAGATGTGTGAATACATGATATCTTAAATTCAACTTTTTACTAAACAATTTTATCTGCATGCCTTTTTCCAACAAAATTACGTAAAATACATATATACCAAGATTTCTAAGATTTTGAACAGGTTAGAATATAATTTATCCCCATTTATTCACAGCTTAACTTTTTCCTGAGATACATCTTCCTTGTAATTTTTTATTTCTCTGCTATGTTTATTTTTTAGTTTCTTTTTTCTTTCAGTTCCATTTATCTTTAGTTTTTATTACTTTTCTTTACCATTAAATCTAGGGGGCATTTTTTAAAGAGTAGCCAGGCTATAAGCTTTATAACTTTTTGTTAAACTTAACTTTTAAGTTTTGCTAATAAATGGTATTATAACCAAGTAAGAATCAAAAAGTATATCTATAGTAAAGTAAAATTATTCGTACTTACATAATACATCCAACTGAGGCAACCATTTCCGCAACAAAATTTTATCAGATTTCCCTTCCATTGACTCGTTCTCATATTTCCACAAGACTCTGTATGGTAATAAATCAAAAGCTTGTAGGAAGGCCTCTCGCTGTCTTTTGGGAAAAGTGTGACCTTTGGTCATGGAACCCATACAAAAGTATATTACTCCTTCGGGAGAATCTTCAATCCATTTCTTTAAATCCTAAAAAATGTATGATGGATAAAACATTTAAAATTTTTATATTAAAACTTTGTACATAATAATATTATATCCACTGATCCAACGTTATTGTCAACACAGTAGACTCTGAAGGTCAAAGATGGCTATGATAGCTATATATCACAAGTTTATCATAATTTTAGATATACTTGTCAGTTTACGTCAACCTTGACTTTTCAAGTTTTAGTAAACAAAATTATTTTTAAATTTGCTATTCAAGGATAAAAAAAGCGATATATGCTCAAAATGTATTTTAGAAATGGCAAAAGAAGTAACGTAGAATAAGTTTAGTCCAACCGAGCTGCTTTTGAAGATTTTGTGAAGAATTTCCAAATTTTGTTGTTCATTATGGCGTATTTTGCAAAACTATTATATAAGCGAAGGCAGGTAACAGAATTGGTCAGAACAGTTAGTGAAGATCAACTACATATAACCCCAAAGGCTAGCCATCCGTAACTGGTTTATGAAAAATCTCAATAATAATGATGATTTGACAAAACCTTTCATGCAGAGGGCAGATAACTCGTATTATTTTATTTATGCTCCTTTAAATCCACAGAAACCTTAAGTTTAGACTGCTAGTAGAAGCAACAGTTAAAATTTAGTGTTGGTAAGGTAGGCGATGTGTATCTTATGGGAAAATGGCTGACCACGTTACTGGTTTAGCCCGAGCGGCGCATCAGGACCAGATTTAAGAATCATAGCACTAGAATATACTCGCACACAACAATTGCCTAAGGTTGTACAAAACATATTAAAAATTCCTCGTCGTTAACTTATCTATATGTATCAATTATAAATAGCTTCCATTGTAAACACATTCTTTAGGAAATAAAGATCCGTATAAAGTCATTAGGAGAAGCGAATCAGTTTTAATCCCAATTATCGATGCAAAACAAACATGTGTTTTTTGTCGATTTGATAGCTTGATACCTTGACTATTAGTGTGGAAAAAGTTTTGATAATGTGTGGTGTGTTCGCAAAATTTATAATATTCGCAAAGAGGCCCAGCAAATCAAACTGAAATCCATACAAAAAGGAAGAAAAACAGCTTCCACTCCAAGTGACGTGAGAATACTTATGATGAGGGAGTGAAATCTCGAATGAGAAAAATTGTCCATGATTTCTGTTTTGAATACATACCATCAACCGTTGACAGCATTATGAACAAAGTGAAGGATGATAAGGACCAGCTTTTTCAAAAACCACATTTCGTAGGCTATTAAATAATATGGATTTTGAATATGGTAAAAGAGGTTGAGATTAGATAATGATGGAAAGACAAGATATTTTGTGCACAATATATTGTGCCCAAGACTATGATGTAGTGCTTTAAAGTCCTTCCCCTTTTAAATTCAATGTTTGTTTCGTCCCTTCTAAGTGTTTTCTGTTTTTAGTGTGTTTAAATTATCCTTAAGTGTTTGTGTTTTACCATTTTATTCATTTTATTTACTTGACCATTCCAATAATTGACTCATTGCCAATAGAACTTTATCAAAGTAATTTGATAACTACAAGTTTGGAAATAATTGCACACCCACACAATTTTACATCTACACTTATTCATTGTCATAAATGTCACCTTCATAAAACAATTACTCAATAAATAACACACATTTCAAAAATATATCTCTGGAATAAGTATAAATAACTTTTAATAACACAATAATATATTACACCACTTACATTTAACAAACAATCTCACACACATCTCAAATTCATTGGATCAAATCTACCTCCTCAAGAACTTCCCGTTTACTGTCAAACAACTGCAATAATAGTATTGAGTTCTCCATTCAACAATATACAGTAGTTTCAAACATGTTCTACCATCCATCTATTAATAGAGTACCGGCATCATTTGTTTAACTTTGTACCGAGACCTGAAGATGCTTTGCATATTGTAGAAAGCGAAACCTGTCGTCGGATAGTTAAATTAAATTGATTGTGAGTAAGTCTGATTTATTATTTCTTTACCTATTATTTAGAATACTTATAGCGCAAAATATTAAGAAAGATATTTGAACCAACCCATTGTAGCGATAGTTCTTGGAGAATAAAAATGAACTCTGAGCTGAATCAATTAATGTTAAGCGCAGATATCGTAATATTTGTAAAGTGAGAATGACTAAACTGGTTTGGCCACTTAGATATAATTCTTGATAATTGAGCTGTAAAAGTAATGAAGATATGTGTAGACCCCAAGGAAATTAAATAAAAAGAGGGCCCGTAATAGTTGGATAGACGCCAAAATGCTATAGTGCCATTGAAGAAGAAGAAGAAGCTTTTTACGAAGAAGCAAATTATATTTTTTCTAGTTACTTACGGCAACATGTCTACTGCTTTTCAATAAAGTGTTTACATTATATTTCTGTGGAAAGATGACGAAACCATATATGTCAATTTTTGATAGTTTTCAGGAGAGCACTTTAAGGTTACAAACTTATTATTAATTCGGTGATAGAAGGTATTGTTTTGTTTTTTATGCAATAGTACATAGAACTGAATGTACTTCTAATGTGTGAAACATGAAGGAAGAATATTTGCTAGTTTTTGAAATATCTTAGATATTTTAGATATATGTGGTTTTGCCATCTTATAAATAAATTGTTTTATGTATATATTGTTTTGAAAGGGAAATAAAAAACAACACATTTGTATATTATGTTAATCTTAAAATGTTACAAATTGGATCTGAATAACCAATTAGTCTTTTGAATCCGAATCCAAGGCATTATCGCACAATTCGTCATATTCTTTTGCGTTGGATGTCGTTGGCAAATTTTCATAAAAGACATGGCAGTCTTTGTCTATCAGGTCTAACATTGATAAAAGGTCCTTCTTTTTCTTTAAATTAATACCCAAGGGGCTATTGTATGAGCAAAAGACAGTTATGGTAGCCAGCCATGGTCGACCTCTTCTTTTTCCCCTTCTTATATCTAGAGTTTTAAATGGTGCTTCATCGTCAAGGGTATACTTAAACTGTCGCTTAAAGTGTCGCTTGTTCGTTTGACTAGTATGTCACGTTAGAGCTTAGAAAATTCCAGAAACTCTTCTTGTCTAATATCAACCACTGTAAATTTGGATTTGCCCCTAACCCATTGTATAAACTGAAACCAGTCGCGTGGTATCATTATTTTAAACTCATTTAAAATTTGCTTTTTACACCTTTCAATTCGTGCGTGGTCGCTATCACACTCGAGGCGTGTATGACCTGGCAAAAGAAATTTCTGATCAATTATTTCGAGAGTTAGTTTCTTCTGAATAACATACAAAAACATAACCGCCATATTAATGTTGCAATTTTGTCCTCCGCACGTGTCCGAATATGTTGTTACGTGCTGGACGGTCTCTGATATAAGATTATACACATATAATAAACGCTTATAGTAGACTATGTTAGTTGATAAATAGGGAGCTAGAAGGACTCAATGTAAATCAAAAAGCAGTACTCTTTTTGTTTTATCATTTTTAGCTATTTATTTGTCTATTCGTTTGCTTTCAAAGGCTTTATTAGCTGCATTAATGTGGTCTTCTAGTTGTTCATTAATTTTTGCTCTAACCGTCTCAGTACTAGCATTCTTTTTTAGTGTTTGATATTCGTCACATTTGCGACATGTATCTAAGTAGAGCTGTTTAAATTTATACCACGTACTATTGAATACGTCACGAAAAACATAATAACTAGCAGATTTCTTTAACACTTTTTTTAATATATCTTCTTGATATTCTTTATGCACTTGACGGATGGTTAGGTGGCTCGGTAGAAATATTTGATTAGGATTATCTCGCCTTGTATAATCAATTTCATGTCTTGCTTGGATATTGATCTATACATTTCTGAACTTTACTGCGTTCTTCGACCAACTTATTAGAGAGTACATGCTGTCCTCTCATATCTGTTTTTATAAATCCATCCTCTGACCATTTTAGTATTTTAACGAGCAGATCTAGCTGGTTTACTGTTACTTCATGCCGATTGATAAAAAAATTATTGCACGTAGTTACAATTTTCTGTGGTTCTATATGCCCTGAGTCACCAACAGTTACGACCCGATTATGTAGCTTTCCCCTTTCATACCTCTGCCTTTCATTATTTGGTATTTGCATTAAGAATGAGTCATTCTTTCATATAATACTTGTTTACGCATATCTGGAGCTTTGTTATTAAAACTAGACCAGATTATAATTTGTTGTTTAGGGGTGCAATTTTGATGGTAATTTTTCGACTGTTCTAACAACCATTCAAATTTCGTCATTTTGTGTCATGTGGAATAATTTCACCCAATAATGTCAACATTAGACTGATAATTGCATTCAGTGCAATTTTCAATCCCTATGACAACACGATCGAGTTTGACAACTTCATCCAAATAAATTTCAAAATGTCACGTTTCTAATCTAATGTTAACTTAAATTTTAATTAATGTACTTTCACTAACTGTACTTTTAATAAATAAGTGTTTCGTTATGTTGAGTTATGATTTTTTTTTTCGAATACTCACAATTATTTGCCGAATATCCCTCGGACATTGATGAATGTCTCATAATTTCATGACAAATTTCTCAAGCTCGTTGCTTGGTAACAGCACTCATCCTTGAAATTATCTGGTCTGTTATCAATGTCCTAGGGATATTACTACTGACAATTTTTTGTTATTGGTCTAAATACTACGACCACGCGACAACAACTGAAAACAATTTGGTACATGGCAAAATCAAATAAATCAACACGTTGCTTTGAAATTTATTGCTCATTCCACATATAAAATGGAGGGCAAAACGAAATATGTTTGTATATATTATGCAATTGTCATCTTTAAAAAATAATAATGTTTATATATCAAAGTGAATAGTGGTGTTACTTTATAATATATCTGCATATAGTATATTGCCACCTCCTTAAGTACCTTACTTTAAAGGTGTTATATGAAGACAAGAATAGGTATAAGATATTATATGGTATTGCCATCTTAAGATGT